GAGGACAGGACCCATACAGGCGCTGATCCGTATACCAGTAATAGTCCTTCGGATCCATACCTTTGCGGTCAAAGTTGTCCATCAACTCCTTGTGCTCCCAGGCCCTCATCGACCCGCCCACGATCTCGCCCACTCCCGGCACCAGTACATCGAACTTACAATCAAATCGCAAATAAATTAATTTTCAAATCATAATCAAAATTAGGCTTTAGTTTACAGATTCAGTGAGTAATGGGTTGTCATCACAACGAGGCATATAAAAAGATGTTAACTCAGCCGGGAATCGACACAACATTATCGGCTGTAAGACAAATATATAAGTAAGTTTATATTTAATGGTCTGTCACTCGATCTGCAATGAAAACCTCATTGATTTTGTCAGTCATCTTGCGTTCAGGCATTTCCGGGATGTCGTCACCGAATTCATAGAAAGTCTGGTCCTCTTTAGTGATGCCGTTGTCTCTCAGATAATCCAATGCCTCCGTATAGTCCATACGCTTGAATGGCCTCCGCGGGGGTTTAAACTCGGGGTTGAAGTGATTGATTGTCTCTTTGCCTAACGGGTGGGCCAGTAGTCTATCGCACACGTCGACCAACAGATCCTCCAAACGGTCTAAGAGATCATCAAACGATATGAAGGGACACTCGGCCTCAATGTGTGTGTATTCAGTCAGATGTCTTCGGGTGCGCGTCTTCTCCGCCCGATAGGACTGAGACATACAGAAGACGGCCCCCAATGACGGCAATAGTGTCTCCAAATACAGTTGAGACGATTGGGTCAGGTATGCCTTCCGGTGACACATAAATCAACCATTAATTCAATGCTAACATAAACAGATCCAAAACCACTACCTCTTCGCCGAAGTAGTCGAACTTGAATAGAGTAGACCCGCCCTCCACCTGGTTCTGCACTAAAGTAGGTGGAGTCACCTCCACGTATCCCCGGGACAGGTAGTGCTCGCGGAATGTCTGCATCACCAGCGATCGGAAGAGCATTATTTTGGACAACACCTTTCCCCTCAACATCAGATGTCTTTGATCTAATTGGACGTCAATGAAGGACTCCTCGTTGAGCACGTGGTCCACACCACCGGCCGGTGCGACCCCAATCAGCTCCCAGTAGTCGCACTGCAATTCATGACCTCCAGACGCTATCTTACCATCCGGTGTCTCCTTCAGTGTACCGAACACTTGAACCGTGGATTCGGTCTGAAGAGTGAGCGCCGCATACGTTTGACACAAGCGGCCGGTGAGGACGACCTGCAAGAATCCGGTGCCGTCTCTAAGGGTCACAAACATGAGTGCCTTTCCCTGTCGTCTCACGCGATGACACCAACCCTTTAGTGTCACTCTTGAGCTCCGGTGGGACACACAGTCTCTGACTTTGATGGCTATGGCCGTCGGCAACGTGTCGTCCCTTTCGATGACCACTCTCTTGGAGTCCTCGATGTTCTTGAGTCGTCTCTCCTCGTCCTCCCCGTCCTTTTGGTACTTGTCTTCAGTCTTACGCTTCTCTCGGATCCAAATTTTTTTGATTTTCTTGATCTGAGACACAGACACTACAACCCATTGGTTGTCATCGCCTATGGTGTAGAACGTAGGGAACGGCTCTTCGGCCGACCGTCTCATGGCTTCCAGTAATGTCTTCAACGGTTTGCCTTCACTCCCATCGCCCGACTCGTCACTGCCTGTCCTCTCGTGTATATACATATCATCTGAAATATTAATAAATTGTTCACTAATTTTATTATCAAATATTTGCCACCAATTCATGTCTCACTCATTTGTTTGGCAATTGTTTCATTCATTTTCAAGTATAATGTGTTTCACTAATAACTCTT